GCGGTGCTCGGCCAGCGCACAGCTCACAGCGCTCCACCCGCACACATCACGGCGACCAGTCGGGCCAGAGGCCGCTCGCGCACTTCTCGTGGTCCGCCTGCCCAAATCGCTGCGGCCGGGGCGGTGGAGCTTGTCCGCTTGCAGCTCACAACAGCTCGAGCGAAGCCCACCCGCACATATCTCGCGCTCCGCCTGCCTAGTTCGCCGTGGCCGGGCTAGATCTTGCCTGCGCGTAGCTTGCGACGGTCGGGATAGAACTCGCCCATGCACAGCTCACAGCGGAGCTTACCCCGTGCACAGCTCGCGCTCCACCAGCACAGTGTGGAGACCCGCCACGGCTTTCTCCATCGACGAGCCTCCATTCTCCCAAGCTCTATACCGGTGAACTCCACACATCGACGAGCCTCCATTCTCCCAAGCACCAAGGAGATTTTGTGAGAAACTGTTTCAAATGTTTCATAGTTATGTTTCTAATGTTTCATAGTTATGTTACAATTGTTTTATATTAATGTTGCAAAAGTAGATCGGGATGTTGTACATGTTGGAATGGTGTTTCAAGTGTATGTTCCAAATGTTTCATCTGTTTTCATACGTATGTAGCAATTGTTTTATCTGGATATTGCAAAAGTAGATCTGGATGTTGCATATACATGCATGTTGCAAGCGTATGTTTCAAGTGTTTCAGGTGTATGTTGCAAGTGTTTTATCTGGACGTTTGCATATGTTTTACAATGGTTACACACGTGTGTTTCCTGGTGTTTCAGGCGTATGTTGCAAGTGTTTCAACTGTTTCGAGCGTATGTTGCAGTATTTCATCTAAATATTGCAAAGTAGATCTCATGCTGCACATGTTGCAGTGGGACCCACATGCAGTAACCGCCTGCTACAGCTACTGGGCCTGCGTGCATACACGTGGGAGTAGAGGGAGCGTGAGCGGCAAGCGCAGAAAACGGAGCGAGCACAGATCGAGACGCGGTCCCCACGTGGGCGCGCGTAGGCAGGGGAAATGAAGCAGTGCAGGCCCCTACGTGAAGTAGGCGCAGGCGTGCTAGCCGTCGCTGCAGCATGCATGCCTGCGGGCGTCCCTCCGGATGACGTCTGACCGCTGTATATGTATGGTCTGGTTAAGAGAGGTAGAGACAGACAATATTGCCGCCTCTGTTAATGTATGGTCTCATAAAGGGGCCGTTCACTGGTCTGTAAAGACCAGCCAGCCGGCTGTTTCCTCGCTCAATTTACTGTTCACCAAACCAGCCGAACAATGTTCTTCTCTCGTAACAATTCAGCCGGAATAGTGTTTTTCAGTTAAGTTTCAGACCAGCGAACGGGGCTAAAGCTGGTTTTGCAATTCGCTGTAGTGTTAGTATGCTTGTTTTCAGTCAGTTTTGCCAAAGATTAGCCACTAGTCGAGTGATCAACTTGCCCAAATGTTCAACGTTTGACAGGTTCAAATGCGATCACGCCGCAATGTCGAAAAAACTAACCTCCGAGCTCCGATATACTATAAAATTTGTTGGACCTTTTGCCCGATTGAGCATGGATCGTCGCATCCACGGGTGGTTGTCGCCATCGCTGTCCCAGCATAAAAGCACATTCATCTCGCTCATGGAGCCAAAGTCAGGAAATAAAATTATATAGAGATGCAGGGACTAAAGTTTAAAATATATCCACATTGGATGTCACATGGGTATCGCATGGGGTGTTCGAATATTAATAAAAAATAAATTACAGAAATCCTCAGTAATCCACAAGACGAATTTATTAAGCCTAATTAGTCCGTCATTAACACATATTTTTTTTTTACTGTAGCACAGCGTTGTCAAATCATAAACTAATTATGCTTAATAAATTCATCTCACAAATTAGTTTTAATCTATGTATTTAGTTTCATAAATAATCTATATTTAATACTCTATGCATATGTTAAATATCCGATGAAAAAGCAATTAAAGTTTTAGAGGTAAAACCAAACACCGCCCCATGTATACTCCCACTATATTTGGGCGGCCGTGGCCGGCACCCATGCCTGACGTACGCCTGACGCAAATGCTTTGTCAGCTCAGGACGGTACCAGGTAGAGGTGGAGCCATTAAATATAGAGAGAGAGAACCCCAAGTCCATACAGTATAGTACAAAATTAAATTAATCTAATTATCATTCATATGTTAATTAATGGCACAGAAATTCCCATTAGGTATGCAGGATCAAGTCTCTATAACTAACCTTTTTTTTACAATCTTACAATATACAAAATGTGATGGTATGCTAAGGATGGTCAAAAAATTAATACAGATCTATGGATCACCGTCAGATCTAAACTTGGTACCAATGCCGGAATTGAATTTGACAAAGAATAGTCGAGAGTGATGGGGCTCGACTATCAATTCCAGTTCCACTCCCGACAGTGACAAGACATTATCACTGTTAGGTCAAGGCTTAACCCGTCAGCGATAGTTTTAGGACCAGTGCTAGTTCACAACGATCGCTTTAGGAGGAATGATACTTTGCTCTAGCGGAACCCCAACTCAAATCGAAGTTTTACCGGCACATTTGAGAGATCAAAGAGGGAGGGGGGCACAGTGGAGAGAGAAATGCGTTGGTTGTTATTGTAGGACGAAGTGTGTATGGGCAGGTAGTTGGGCACTCTTGGTTGAAAACGGATGGAAATGGAAGGAAAAACTATTTTCCTGTTCCGTTTCTACATTTTATCACTGGAAACGGGATTAGGATCGGAAAGGCCAGGATCGGAATATACGGGTATTCAGAAACGGACAAATATGGACGGAAACGGACGGAAGTGAGGAACTTAAGCCGGAATCACGATCACATATCATGATCATGACATTCTAAAACCAGCACAAAGTAAGCAACCACACAATTCTGGAGTGCAGCAACACCAACGCAAATATAAAAATCATCCTTCTCATTTATCAATCGTGCTCTCGTACAAGTGCAAGTGTGCTCCCACTAAGTTGTCAATGCCCACAAGAAAGAAAGGCACTTTCAAAAAAAAAAAACACTTCTGGAGTGCACGAAGCATGCCATGCGCCCGCATGCACACATCAGCAGGCAGTATGCCGCTACAGCTTGAGCGCAAGGCAGAACCAGCCCAGGCCGGATGGGGACCGGGTTTGCGTTATTGGGCTGCAGACGTGGGCTTTCTAGCTATTGGGCCTCTTGGGAGTTATCGCTTCAGATCATCCCGGATTTAAGAAATACGGATCAAATACGGGATATCTCCGGCCAAATACGGGATCCAGAAAAACGGGCGGATGAAGCCTCTTCCGTTTCCGTCCTGGTCCCGGACACTTCCGACCCGGCTCCCGTCCTGTTTTTAGATCTTTTCTAAAAATACGAAAACGGTAGGCCATAGAGAAACGGACGGATGGGGTCGGACATGTCTCGTCCGTTTTCAACCTACGCTAGCGCCGAGATGGGCGTCAGGGAGCATGGCACCTACCCCGCATGCCACAAATCTGCCAATCTTGGCGCGATGTAATGAGATGTACAAGCTGCGCCCAGCCCTGGTTCTAGTTTAGGCTGTGTTTAGTTGTAGGAATTTGGATTTTGGGTTACTGTAGCATGTTCGTTTTTATTTGGTAAATAATGTTCAAACATGGACTAATTAGGCTCAAAACGTTCGTCTCGCAATTTCCCACCAAACTGTGCAATTAGTTTTTCTTTTCATCTACATTTAATGCTCCATGCACGGACCACAAACATTCAATGTGACAGATACTGTAGCAAATTTTTGGAAGTTAGGGTGAAACTAAACAAGAGCTTAGTAGTCTTGCAATTCTTTGTCCCAAAGAGTCCATACATAAATTTCTTTTGAACAAAGCCATAAGTTAAAAAAAAATCAGAACCAAAGGAGGCAAGAACCTTGGTAGCCAATCCATATGTGCAATGCTAAAATAACAGTTGGAAAACAAAATTGCCCTGGGAAAAATTGAAATGGAGGAACTATGTCGATTCTGGTAAGAGCAACTCCAGTAGAATCCCTACTTAAATCCATATAGCTAAATATAGATGTCAAAAAAAAAAAAAAAGGTCTCCCGTGCGCTGCTCCTCTCCTCTGCCGACGATCCATTCCCCATGTGGCTCCCTCCTCCCCTCTGGCAGCGCCCGCGCGGACGCAACGGCTCCTCAGTCCCTCCGGCTCCCTCAGTCCCTCCGGCTCCCTGGCTCGCACGGGACGTGGCGGCGCAAGCAGGCCACCGCGGCCACCGGCTCCGCCCGCCCCACCGCTGGCTCTTTCCCCTCCCTCGGCCTGGCGCCGCTCAAGGCACGGACTGTCGGAAGTCCGTGCAGCGCTCATCGAGCCTCTCCCCGTCCGTGCAGCGCTCGTCAATAGCTTAGAAGGTGAAAGATTGAGGATGACAAGTGGGTCCCAATGGTCAGTGTCCACTAAGAGAATTTGGAGGCTTTTGGTTTAGGGGCTTCTGTCAGAGCAAATGCAAAATAGAGGATCAACAAAAATAGGAGAAAGCATCCAAATCAAAATGTGGGCCCTGATTTAGTTCCTCCTGCTGAAGTTGCTCTAAAGGTAATGTTGCCAGCAGATGGTAATTATGCTGATTTTCAGTTTTTAACAGATGACAGTAATACTCAATCCACAATTTGCAGCGCAGATAAAACCATGTTCCATTTGTTGTCCAGATACAGAATTTGAGCCAATTACAGTACTATAAAACAAGGGCCACTATTATTCCCACAAGGGAATTCGTTCATTTTTACGTGCTTTTCAAATACAACATTTTGCTTCATGTCTGAACAATATCCAAAGGGAACAGACTTCTATTTACTCTTCTTTTTATTCCCCATTTACCAAGTTTCACAACACGTTTTTTTCCCTTCAACTAGATATATGTAAAATACCTATATCTATCTGATCTTCAGTCCTAAAAGTTAAACAGGAATGCTTTATGTGCTGGCCATGATGATTTCTTATGCATCGGTCCATTGCCATCGAAATTGGAATCTTTCAACTTGTTTACACCTCATGTATCATCATCTGCTGCTGAATTGTCACCATCAGCATCCTCGGAAGCCAAATTCTGATTCATTACAAACCTCAGACTGTCACCTTCTTCAAGTTCCCACTGCTTCTTGAGTTCATCAATGGCGCTTGATGCAGCCCTAGCTACAGCATAATTGGGGTCTTGAGCCAATCTCTGCAACCAAAAGGAGAGAAATTGCAACAACCTTACCAAAGAACTTTGGTAGAAATATAGCTTCGTGTCACAAGTCCGAAAATGAAGTGAGAATCAAACATAAATGTCTTCAGCTTGTATGGTCTGGAACATGGATGGTTGAAATATGAAATTTCTTAATCATGTGGGCATTTAGTTGTGGAATATAGCCTGCACTCTCGAGATTAAGAGCCATGATTCGTTGCCTAGTCTACCCTTGCCAGATTTTTTGTGGGAGAAATGATCCTTTTCTATTAGAGAACCAATTTTGACTCTCTCAAGAAAAAACGGAGCCTTTGACTCTTTGCCCAAATTAAATTATGACTTCTTTGCTCAATAGCAAGCCTGGGTGAGAAACCAAATAAGCCCTCAGACATTCAGCCTATAGAAATTCAGATATGAAGTGCCAAACAGCCTTTTATGCTTTTTCTTTTATCATTTTGGATAGGTAGGAAGGAGAGATGAATTCAAACCTGCAATGCACCCATGCCAGCATTCCCAAGAGTCCACATAGATGGAGCTGTTGCCAATGCGTTAGCTAGGGCTTTCCTACAAAGAGTAGAAATTTATAATGTTCATCAATGGAATATAGTAGTACCAATGTATTGTTGAATTTTACAAAATAAGAACAAGGGAATTAAGGTATTGCTTTCCTGAAATATAGAAGCATTAAAATATAAAATAAAATAATCTAATGGGAACTAGGGCCATTGAAAATAAGAAATTGGCACCCAAACTCGTTTTTTGGCAACATGATCATTGTACAGTATTTAAACATTAGCTTTTATGTTGAAATCAAGTGATTGATGGGTACTTCAGCAGGAAAGAAGTCTCTATGTACCTAGTATTAACGTCTGGAGAGCTTGAACATTCAGCAATCAAGGAAACACTCCTTTTCCCATCCATGGCATCCAGGTCAATTAGAGTTGCTATTAACAATTCAAGCTTCACAAACAGAAAAGTATGACATCAAATATGAAGGTAGGAGGTTTGACATAGATCGAATCAGTTTAAAATGGCTCACCTCCTCAGGATCTGTGTAGTCAATACCATCAGCTTCAGAAAAGGCAGATGCCATACTCTGGTATGCTTCCTAGGAAGGATAAATCATGGAAAAGTTAACACTATGATAAGACTGCCCATGAGAGAGAGAGAGAGGGAGGGGGAGGGGAGGGAGAGGGACTGAGACTGCTGCTAAATAAGTTATGTAGAAAGTACCTCAATGGCATAAATTTGATCAGCAGAAACTTCACCAGGAAACAGTTCAAGAGTCTTCCCATTCTTCTCAAGTGAAATAAACCCTGTTGAATTTGTACGAGAAGATGAACCGTCCTTTGGAAGCCTATGAGTAAATTTTAGCTTAATTCAAAGTGATCCATAGTGAGCAAGTACTAGATCAAAAGTAAAAAGTAGTTCTCTGTAATGAAGCAGCTATGTGCTCGTCCAAAACTATCATTTCAAACTTTCTCTCTAGAACTTACTGCTCATATAATCTGTTCACCATCATGTCATGGATGTCCTGAACAAACTGCATTGAAATTTGTAAAATTACATACAAGTATATGAAGTTATAATAAAAATGATATAGGAGCAATGCTTATAGTTATCAAGTTGGGATACAATGAAATTCGGTAGTGTGAAATCAAAATTTATACTTGAAGCAAATTTTGTTGTGGCAAGAGATGTGAAAGTCTTTCATTACAAAAGCAGCCTCTTTAGTATACAAAGCAATGTGCAAATATTGATTCGTCTGCAAACTGTGTTGGATCAGAGAACACTGAACCTTCTATGTTGATGGGAGCATGTAGACGTGTAGAGTGCCATAAGAAAAATTCCCACATAATCATAGTTCCAATTCTGCTTTATTTAGTTAGTAGGTAAATCAGACACGACATTCAATGTTGCATTAGATAACTTCCCGGTGTGATTATGTAAGGCATGTTTGGTTTCCTTCCACACATTGCCACACCAAATTGCCCACCACACCATAGGGAATGTTTGGAAGAGGAATGTATCTATGAACAGGTGGGTCAAAGGCATAGCAACTATTGATTTGGTGTTCAAACTAAATAAGTTCTTAGAAAGATGAGCACTTTCACTATTAGTCACCCCTTTATACAAATTCGAACCGCCATATAATAAAAATGAGCTAGAATATCCAGAATAAAAATTGGAAACAGTAGAGATCTAAGGATGGTTATTTGAACACCCGACGTTGCAAAGTTTCAGAGCTAGATACGGAAGTAGTTAAAGCTACCTTCAATGCCATGAGAGCGTCTTCCATGGCACGTCGTTTAACAACCAAGTCAGCTCGTCGCAGATCTGCCTGGTTGCAAATCAATAATACATTAGATTAGCATGAATTCAACAGCAATACACAAAGGGCGCTGGCATTGATAATTGATAAAAAAAAAAGATGTACTACTCCTATATTATATGAATAGTACTGGCAATTTTCTACAGTAAAAATGGAAACTATTGCTCAGATCTTACAATTGTTCCAACAAATTGAAGTAAAATAATATGAACTACTAGTTCACACCTCCAAAGCGCCATCACTCCAATGTTTGTCTGCAGCTTTCTTCAAGTCTGACTGAGCTCAAATCTTAAATGCCTGAATAGGCATGAAAATGCTGATTATTTACATAGATGTAAAAAAGGAGACAGAATACAAAAAAAAATGAATAATTTAGTATCTTACAGATACATACTCTGGCAAAATGGTTAAGGCGCGCTGCTCTCTCCTTCACAGTGTTGTCAATCTTTTGAGTATCCTTTCGTGCACGAGCTGTAATGCAAGATAAGTTTAGATGAAGCTTAAATAATAAATAATTTTATATCAAGAGCTTATTTGTCCCAAAAGGAGAGCATGTACCATCAAGCTTCAGAAACCCCAGGCCCAAAACAGCAGCATCCTGGCATGCACGTTTGTTCAGCCTTGTTATGCCACTAGGATGCAAAGTAGATCAGATATAAGAATAAAATAAACAGTTATGCAAACAATAACTTGCTTTTATCAAGGAGCAAATTTAGCAATATGAATATGGTTCTACTTTGGAGTAGAAGAGTACCGTGAAAGTAATAGAATGTCACTTTGAGCCCTTTCATTTACAAACTTAGCATCATTGTAAACAAATTTGCAGGCTTCAGCCAACCCTTGACTAGCATAGGCTGACTTCTTCTTTGATGGAACTTGATCATCTGAAAATTGAGGATTTCCCCTCGAATGTTGCTTGAAATCTCTGCAACAAACACATTGGAAGATAATTAGAAATCACTCATGGTTAGATGTCTAGTCTAAAAACAACAGTGCACCTTTGCACACACAGTCATTGAGCCTTATGATGCCATTGTAGCCTATATTAAAAGAAAATGCATATATAGAAATTTGCTTTAAAGCAGAAAGAATAGATCGTCAGCTAACTATGTTCAATATTTCAATAAAAAAATATAATGAAAAAGAGAAAGTAGGGGCTGCCCATGCTTTTATCATCAGAGAAAACATTTGAAGTCAAAATAAGTTTTCTCAAAGCACCCTGACAGCAGGTGACATATTTAGGCTGATAATATATTGTGGGAAGACTTTACTATGCACAAGTGAAAACACTCTAGCAAATGCAAACCTAAATGCATATAACAGTAATCACTAGACAAATAATAAAGACGCATAACAACCAATGATGAATAGATGGCCCATAAGTGAAGTATGTGCCAAAAAATATTCCAAGCGTTGGTGTTTGTTAAATGTGAACATGACCCCCAAAGCTGGCTTACATGATGCACAGGGCACTTGCAAATTTTCCACTGATCCACTAAGAAAAAGTTCAACTGTTTTAACAATTATTATTGTACAAGTTACCACAAATAAATGTACTAAGGCCCCGGGACAATAACCACCAATCCAAACAACATTACTGAAAAGAAGGCTTTAATATATTCTGAAACTGAACTTGCTGACTAAAGTATCTACTAGCATAGGAAGATTACTACATGATTTTCCCTCTGATAGAAAACACACTGATTAGCAGGGCAGCAGTTAAAGCTTACCTGTAAGGGCTGGCGCCACCTTCTTCAGCAGCATCGCACTCTTCAGTTTCGCATTCGCAGCTGTTATGAGACCCACAAGAGTGGCAGCGAGCATCGCAGCCACCGTGCCCGAGCAGTGAACCATCAGACTTGCTGCCTCTGGGCTTCCACTGACAGAGCCTGGAGACGAGGTGGTACCCGTTTGCCCACCTCCTGGCCTCCGATTTCTTGGCCAGACATGTGACCTCGCGCGGCGCCGGCGTCCCGTATTGATCTCTGTAGCACATCCTACATGCCACCGTGGTGCCGTACATATTGCTAGCCATGCGCGCACAAGCTTCTGTAACTGTAAAGGCCACTCACCACCCAGACCAAGAATTCAAGATACTCCTAGAGTGGTGAGCAGGGGTCTGTGCTGTAGCTAATTCCTGGCTGCCCGTTTGGAGTGCTGGTACACAGCCATTGCAGTTGCTTGCAGCGCCTGGTGTGAAATTTCAGTCACTACGTGTCACAGCAGGCGGCCAGACACAGCTCCAATCAATCAATCGGATGTGTGGTGAAACAAACAAAGAAAGAAATCGACGGAGTTGTTGGCTCGCCAGCACCGACAACCACACAGCAGGAACGGAAGGGGAAGGAAGGGGCGGGGTACCTGGTGGATGGGATGCTCGTCGTCGTCGGCGGCGGCGGCGGGCGTCCGTCCCCAGTTTGTGACGCGATGGCGATGGAAGTTATTGAGTGGCGGAGGGGAACGGAGGAAAGGGGGATATTCCAGAAGCAGCCAGTGAGGGAGGCGGGCCCACGGGATCGCGGGAGGGGAAGCGTCAGCCACCAGTTGGGCCTGCGGCCGGTGAGAGGCCAACGGGCCCGGGCGGGCCCACTACCATCCTTATCCGCTATCCTGTGGCAGGGAACTTCGCCACATCGGCAAATCCATTACCGTGCGTGTATTTCGGGGGTTTTAAAATCGCTACCCGCTAGTCACCTGGGCATGGAATTCTAGGTTCAGTTTGAATCTAGAGAGATTTTAGGAATTGGAATTCTAGGATTTTAGAATGTACATTTTAGATTTAATAAAAAATCTATGATAACTTTTTTGAACATCAATGGTAGGTAATCTGCCTTTTCATTTAGTACAGAGGAGTATCAAATTTACAAAGTTAAGTGAAAAAAAAAGATAAAACAGCAAGAGATGCAGGCTATACGAACAAAAGAAGGGAACTGCCGGCGCTCGGACGTACGATGGATACCAATCCATCGGACGGTACCGTGGCCCGTGCGATTCGTTTCCACGTGCGTGCACCTACACACTGTGCCCGTACCTGCATGTCTCACCCACGCCTGCATTTCGTGCACCCACACGGGCCCCACGCCACCTCGACGTTGCCCGTGCCGCACGCTCACGCTCCCTCGTGCTTCCCACACACATCACATGTGCAGCATTTGTTCTACTTTTAAAACATATAGATGCAACACTTACAACATACTTCTAGAGACAGATGAAACACTTAACATGCTTCTGAAACACTTGAAAAAATAACTAAAAACACTTGAAAAACATTGCAAACATACGTAACATCCAGATAAAACGCTTGCAACGTATGTGTGAAACATATGCAATATCTAGATAAACACACTTGCAACATACGTCTAGAAAACAGATAAAACATTAGGGATAGACACCAACATACGTGTACAACCATTGCAACATATGCAACATCTCGATCTACTTTTGCAACATCTGTATAAAACATATGCAACATACCTCTAAAACATCTGAAACATTTGAAATGTATGCTTAAAACATTCATCGTATTCTGGTGCAGCCTCATCCATTGTTTGCATCAGAGCGCTTCAAGCGTAGCTGGAGGCGAGGCCGGAGGGCTTCTGCGCCAGGGCTGACGCTTCTCCTTATACCGGGCGGCGCTTTGTTGGCGTCATCATGCGCGTGAGCACACTGTGTGACCGACCACCGGTGGCCAAGGGAGTGGTCACCACGTGTGGGCACGACGGGTGGTGGAGCAGGAGTAGCGGCAGGGGCAGTGGAGCAGGTGCATGACCATCGACGGCGAAGCAGAGGAAGGGAGCGGGTGGGTGGCTTGGTGGAGGCTCCCACGGCGGTCGGGAACGCTGCGACGGCCGGTACGAGATGGGGAAATATCGCTCTTTATTTTTTTTGAGTGAAGGAACAAAGGTAGACAGCAAGAGGCCTGTTGTGCCGGTCTGTAGGGAAGAAGCATCCGGACGAGAGGCATCAGCACGGACGTCCTCACTAGAGCATTTTCGACGAAAGAAAAAAGTCCACATCTTTTGGGCATGGCTCACTCCTCCCATGGCTGTTGAATTGCCTTAATGTTGTCTCTGATTACCATCGCCTCTTCCTGGGTTCAGCTGCAGCGCCTGTTGTCCAAACCAGCCTTCCACTCCTTGCCAAATCAATTTCGAGAATGAATAGTTGGCAATCATATGTGAGTGTGATTCTTGTTTAGTGTAGCATAGTTTGCAAATTGGTCCCCCCCCCCGCTTGTTGATTCTGTCCGCTGTCAGCAATTTCCTTTGGAGCATAAGCTAAATGAAGAAGCGACCCTTTGATTCAGTCCTGAATTTCCAAATACTCCTCCAATCGAGTTCTAAGAAAGCACCGAAGAACTAGGCATCATATGGCAACCTAGCGGAGTACTGGCCTGATGTTCCCAGCATCCAAGAGCACTCATCTTCTTGTGGTTGTAACTAAACTTCTTGTACTTGGGTCCACAGGTGGACGAACTGATGAAGTTCTCTGTCTGTGTTGATGCGGTTTAAGCCAAGCATCCATCCTCCCATTTGTAGTGCTGGTGCAACCTTGTCATTTTTTCGCCACGCAAGCTTATAACAATCTGGGGCAACATCTTTTGGTGCTCTCCCATTCAGCCAATTATCTTGCCAGAACATAGCTTTCTCGCCATTGCCTAGTTTTATGGTGGTGCATGCTTTGTACAGGGCTTCTTTAGTGTTGTTCATTGGAATGGGTAGGCCAGTCCATGGTTCTTCTAGTGTCGCCCAATGGTGTCAAATCCATCTATGTCTCAATGTTGTGTTAAAGGCTGCAAGGTCCCATATCCCAAGACAACCAAGGGCTTCCTATCGTGTCACTCATGATAACTTCAATTTTCAAATACTATGGAAAGATTTTTTTTTCCATATTAAAATAGGTTTATAGATATGTCTATTTTGTTGGTCCCTAGACTCTAGCTATACATCTCTAGAAAATATTAATTTCTAGAGGCGGCCATCTATGGCAGAACCGCATAATCTAATGCCTTCTAGGAGTACTTGTCTTCCATTAGACACTAAGTACTCAAGAGAGGACACTAAACTATGCAGTTCCGTCGAGCACACCCCAAGGGAGAACTTGAAAATCTATATTTTTCCATCAGGATCATAAATGAGAGAATACATCTTACAACATTCTTAAGTCATTTCTTACATCACTTTATTACAGTAACAGAATATTACCTCCATTGATTATAATAGTGGAATATAACAATGTTATTAGAGTTACAGAGGAAGCAAAGATTAATTTAATGACATGGTGGAGCATTATTGTAGTGGACATTTATATACAAGAGATGCTAGCAGATTTTACATATTTTCTTATAAAAACCTTTAGTGAGGGTTATCAATAAATACTATGATCATAGCATGAAAGGATTCTTCTCTGAGCCCACCAGGAGGTTTCCACACACAAGAATCGGCTCTATGTATCCTTCGGTCACCTGCAATAGGAGGAATAAAACCCTGAGTACTCGTACCCGACAGGAGGAAAATAAAAGACTCCAAGGATATGCAAGGCTTATTTGGCTTGTGGGTTATTGCATCTGCGGAAGCATTACTAAATGTGCATCCTTATATTCAATTTTATTAGCAGTCATCATTAGTTCATTGACTAACCATTCTATGTAAGCACCTATGCCACTTTCAAGATGGTGGTAAGCAATAAGAACCATTTTATCACCTTTCAAGTTCTAGTTCTTACTATAGTGCTAGACCATAGCCAAGTCATACCATCTCACAGAAACGGCGATTCGTGAATCAATGTATCCCAGCTGGGTACCCCGAAACACACGCCTCGTTTGTAACCCAGGCACAAACAAGACCAACCCATTCCACTCCTGTCACAGGGTCTAGGTCCCCGTCCAAACTTGGACTCCAAGCCCCACACTTGAGACCCGGTCTCAGTATGGTGCTTAGACCTCCACCTTTCCCCGCCTCCAATCCGTTGGTCTAAAAAGAGCCGGAACCCACGACAAGAACATAACGAGCCTTCCCACTCCCATAATCAAGTATGTGCTCAGGATAATAAGTCTGTGACCTGTCTACCATCCATAGCAACGGGACGGTCCTCAATTGACATAGGTGGAACAAATGCAATTCGAGCCTCGCTCGGTTGCCTAACCAAGTCCAAATCCAAAGCACCTTTCCGCCCGGTCTCCAATTATCATTCATATATATTCCATGTGATAGTAATATAATAACAACAATAATATCTTTCGTATCTCTCATGAGTGACAGGTAATCACTTGACTTCAACCGAATCCTATAGCATAGCCATCTACACGATTCTTACATACTACTAGGACCCATAGGATAATGATATATATATATATATATATATATATATATATATATATATATATATATATATATATATATATGCAAGTGGTTTTCATTCAACTCCTTAAAACTTAATGCACAAGCATAAATTAAAGTGCAGAATAATAGAGGTTATGCACCGGGGCTTGCCTGGGTAAGATATAACCAAAAGTTAGCATTCCATCGTGGTGACCCAATCATCAAGGCACCATCCTTTCTGCTACTCCAGATGGCTCCATGATCCATTGTTGTTCTTATTATAATATACGTAGATGCAACGCAGAAAACATAATTAACCCACGGCAACCACAACTCTAAGAACACGATTACACCTCACAAGCTAACGAGCTAGATCTAATGACTAGCATACTAGGCTACGTATCCACGTCATCAGGTAAGGCTTCATTTCTAGAAAAATGCTTTAGTCCTACAATCCCAAGGTGTTTTGGGTTCTTATTAATTAAATTTATATATTCAAACTAGGGCTCATTTAGCTACCTTAGCAAATTAATGATTATGGAGCTACAAAAATTACAGTGGGCACCTCATAATATTAGGAAGCTACTATAAAATTTCTAGAATTAAACTAGCACTGATTAATCATAAAAATCCCTACAAGTTTATACCTTAACAATATTAAGCATCTCAATTTAATTAGATAACTCTTGAAAATACTATGGAACTGTTTACACCA